GTGAGACCTGAGAGAGCTTGTAGTAGCACAGCTGGGAGTATAGCTGTAAAGGGTATTTGATATCTTGAATCTACCAGTTTGATTCCCTCCTCCCCTCACCACATTTGCACACATCAGACAGGAGCCAGCCAGGAGACAATTTTTTGTCGCAACTTAAGGCAATCCACTCAGCTTGGTTAGGGTTTGGTCTTCAGTTCATGCCTCTGCTATGTTCCCAGCACGTTAACTCTTATTGCCTAATTACAGGGTATCAATTGCCATCAGTCTCTTGATAAAACACTTCTGCAGTTTCCGAAACCTCAGTGTATTAGTGAGGTGCCGAGGGCAGCGGCAGCTCAGACCTCGGGAACAATGATGTCAAACATCTCGTTTGAGAGCTGGACGGAGGTATTTAGTTAGGTCTCTTGACGTCTTCAGGTTCTGATTTAGTTAGTTCTCTTGACGCATTCGGTTTTCTGCAGAACCTAAGGTTTTTTTTAAGTGTTTCTAAATTCTTATTGCTGCAAAGGCAGCTTTCAAAATTGGAACTGAATGCTTTGAGCTATGCGAGTCGTCAGAAACCCCGAAACAATAGCTCAGAGGTGGGACTGACCTGACTCATCTCAGCAGGACATAAACTCTGAGGCCCAATTATGCTGCTTTAGAAACTTGATTTTTAAAATAATTGAGGTATGAAACGATGTGCCTGGCTTGTCCAGCTACCACGGTTCTGCATATAAATTGAATAACGGCACGTACAGATCGTGAAATGGCACACAACAAAAATAGCAGTGGTCCCAGAAGTGCCCTTTTACGTGTGTTGTTTTTTTTCCCTTGCCGTGTGAACCTCCTTGCAGCTGGCTAACTCACTTCGAGTACCTCCACTCTGGATTGCTCAGAGCTGGCTGCAGGTGTTTGGCACCTTGGAAAAATCAAAGCCAAGTTGCTCCGTTCTTGAAACAGTGGCCTCAGTTGCTATCTACTAGCCATATTCCACCTCTTTACGGACCCCTCTCCCTTCCTATTCCACTTTAGACAGGGCACATCTGTGGGTTGGGAGTGTATCTACATTCGTGCGCCCAGCGCAACCCGTGATTTCATTAGCGTTTCATCTGCTCCTCCCTGCACAGCAGCCTTGGACTCCCAGCTGCCCAGTCAGCATTCGGATCTCTCACTGGTGGTTATGCTGAAAGCTTTCATTCTTTGCATTAGAAAACATTATCTCTGCAGTATTCCCGATGCTTTGAGTTGAATATGCTGCAGATACCAAAGTCATGTTGCTCTGAGACGTGGGATATGCGGTAAACGTTGGCTGTTCCTCTCTCAGGAGCTCTCTTATCTGCAGTGGGCCGACTGGCTTGAGCCTGAAAATGAGAAGTGTTTTGGGTTTTTTTTGCACCATTTCCTCATAAATGCCCAGAACGCTGCCATGCCTTCAAAACAGAGGCAGAATTCAGTGAAGCCGTGCTGCAGATGGGCAGATCATCTGGTCCTGGTGTGTTATGGAGGAATGGGTGGTGGTGAGCAACAGTGGGGCAGTCTATATTCACTGGCTCTGAAAAGGTTTTTGGAAAGCAGCTGGCACCTCTGATACAAAAAATGAGAAGTGAGACAGCCCGGTACCTGTTACGGAAACCAGATATGGTTTTCACAAAGAGCCTGGCGCTTGAAGGCAAATACAAGCTGAAGCCATTGGTGGTTGCTACTGTATGTGCTTGGGGCTTGAATGCCTTTTGTTAGTCTGTAATAAAATAAACCTTCTTGTATCTTGGCAGACTGACTCTGCCTGAATGATTACCTGTCTGGCACTTCATTATAAACACACTTTTTTTTTTCATCTTGGTACTTGTTTCATGCCACTTTTATTGCTTTTCAGGCACAATTTTTTTGTTTTATTCGCCTCTTACAATCTATTGACATACCCTGCTTTTAACCAGCAAGCAAAGAGCAAAGGCAGGCAGCTGCTTAACGTATCCAAGGTGGGAGTGAGAGCATTTCAAAACACTTGAAAAAACATTTTAGCTTAATTTTTCAGTGTATTTTTCCCCCATTGCCAAATGTGCTGTTAACTCTCAGATAGGAGCCAAATTTCTAAAGCAGAAGCCTAAGTTCTTGGGTAGGCAGCTCTTTTCTGATCCTGAGGATTTTGCTTGGGGTCCAGCTCTTTTAAATATGATTGTTCTGTTCCTTAGCATTAATTAAAAGCCACGTAATAGGATTATCCACTTCCCATTCTGGAACACTATTCTGGAGGATTAGATGTCAGAGAAATTCTGGTGGTGCGGGAGAGAAGACATTTGTGTGTGCACTTGTGTTTGTCCGGGTGGCGTGTGTGTGGCAGGAGGAAGCACTGTCTTGACCGAACTATTCCCTTTAGGGTTTGTCATGTCAGAGAAGTTGTCCCAGGGGTTGTGCTGACGGGAATAACAATAATTTAAAGGCAATAAAATAGCACGAAACAGACTGGAAAATGGAAAGAATCAAATTGTCTATAATGCAGCGGCAGATAAGCCATTTATTTTGGAGGAGTCAGTGAGCCGTGGTAGGTTTGCTTTATTGTCTCCTCTTAAAGGAGTTGGAGGCCCCGTGTAAATGGCCTGGCCAGCTGATGCCCCAGTGCAGTGGACACACACATCAGGTTAAATTGCATTATATCCATATGAAGGCGCATCAGTCACTGTGTGCAGGGTTGGGGCTAACTGGCCTTGTGAATGACATCGGTGGCGACACACTAAGGAAACGATATGGCTTAGACACAAGACAAGGAGCCAGGAGGCCTGGGTTCCAATCCTGCTTTTGACAGTGATTTACTAAATGACTTTGGGCATGTTGCTTAATCTCTCTAAGCCTCCTACAGTTTCAGGAAATGTCTGTGTGAATGCAGAATGCTAGGAAAGCGTATCAGTGACAGAGGTGGAACAGTAAATTCAGTGCTCCTTGGCTCCCAGTCCTTTGCTTAATCCACTAGATCAGGTGGTTTTGTGGATTTGCTGTTGCCAGAATAAATGTTAGCATTTAATGTATTATCTGCATTAGCTAGTGGCTCTTGCAGTGTAATTAGCTGTGCTTTTATAGTATTGAGCAACTCTGGCACACTTAGCAAGAATAGATTGTTTTGAGAGCCACTGTTCAGCATTGGGGGGCATCCATGCATTATGATGTGTCAGGATGCTGAACGCATGCACACGCGCCCTTCTTGCAGTTATTACAATACACTGACCAAATCTTGCTAAAAACGTTAATTAAAAAAAAATGTTTTGTGCAATATTTTTGTGTGTTTATTGACCATGAAATTGGCCTGTCCTTTATTTTCTGTATTCTGCACATTTGCTTTTCTAAAAGCTGGCTTTGAACACAGGATTTTTGTCAGTCACTGCCGCCTGTTAGAGGAGACTTGCATTGTGTTTTCTTTTGGAGACTTTACATTTGTTCTTTCTTGTTGTTTTCTTTAACATCCATTCAATCTGAATGATTTGATATTTTTCACTCTTTGCATAGGAAGATAAGTTTTCTTATGTTTCCTGTATTTTGTTTAAATGTAGGGAGAGAGAGAGGGAAAAAAATCTTGTTTTTCTAATATCAGGACATTTTGTTCTAACTTTCTACATATGCCTAATAAATATTGCAAACTAGTATCCAACTGATTTTTTTAAAATGAGAAACCAGAGTACATATTACAGATGGGTGTTTTATCTCTTTTGGCATAACTACAGTGTATTTCTTCTGTAAGCATGTTGTAGGCTGATGAATGAGGGTTACATATTTTTCCCTCTACTACTTGGTGAGAAATGTTTTGACATATTTTTATATTTATATGTATGTGTCTATATGTGCAGCTACATACAAAAATGAGTTAAAATAATATTATTTAGTTAGCACAGTCAAACAGCCAGGAACTCCAGATTTATGTTCTCTTGTGTAACCTTATTTCTGCCTCCTTAGGAGCACAGAGTGATTTTTTTTTTTTTAATTTTTTTTTAATTTTCAAATTATATTTGGGAGCAGGTGTTTTACGTACCAGGGAACTGTTTTTAGAAAAAACAACAAAGGAAACCCAGTGTTATTCTAGTGACAGGATTACCCCCTGTGATGCTGCTGAGGTTGGTGTTAGCTTGGATGAGACTGGTTATAATCTGCCTATGGGACTAGACAGATTCACCCAGCTGGCTACCGGAGAGCACCTCGCGGTCACGATATAGCATTCTCAGCTTTCCCTTCCTCACCATTCATCTCTCTGTTTTTTTTGTATTGCTGCCCTGCTACCACTCCCAGCCTGCAGTGTCCTCTTGGAGACTCTCTGTTAGGCCTCCGTGTTGATGAATCCTATTTTCTTGTTAAGTTGCACAGAAGCTGTGTATTGGGGTAGGGTCTGGGGAGGGGGAGTTCAGATCTGTCTTGAAATCTGGTCTTGTGCTGTGATCTTATGCTGCAGATGTATAAAATGAGTTCTGCCATTGATTTCAATGAGGATTTTGCCTGGACTCTTCAGAGGAGGAAGAAGGACAGGCCGTGTTAAGACAGTTGTTAAGAATAACAGTGGGAAGTAAAGCACATTTTTACAGATGCCCTTTGTTGGGCTCTAATTTAAGTTCTCCATCCTGGTGTTACTAAGGGTGAGGAAGTCTCGGAGTTAGCCTTTTGTTCGATGCAGATTGGAGGTAAAAGGATAAGAAGATCTGACCTCTTGCAATGTCTGCATCTCTGCATTGCTGACAATGGAGGGGTATATTATTGTCCCGCCTGCAGCAGAAGCTTTGCTTTTTCATTTTCAGCTTTTGTCTCATCTCAGCCATGGAAATACTGTTCCGTGCAGAGATCTGCTATGATACGATGACAGAAGTTACTGGAGCTACAGCATTGACAGTACCCCCCGAAGCAAATCAAAATTCTTCTCAAAGATTATGTGCAGCTTGATGCCCATTTCATAGTAAAACTGATGGGCTTTGCATTTCTTCTCATGTAATGGTCTCTAGTAAAATAAATACATGTAGTAAATGCATGTTTCTCTCTCTCTATTTCAGGAGTCTTCGATGTATTCACTTACTGTTATTTAAGGAGCCTCTACTAGGTGTTTCTGGGTTACTTTTCTGAACAAACAGAAAGAAGTGGTATTCAAGATGCTTATAAAGGAATATCGTATTCCTCTTCCTATGAGTGTGGAAGAATATCGGATTGCCCAGCTGTACATGATACAGGTTAGTAATGATTCAGTTAAACATGTGCGGGTGTAGACCAATTCATGAAAGTGGAATTTTGGGCTCTACGGAAAGGAGATGTCTTGGTGAAGAACATCATAACCTTAAAGCTGGGGTGTCCTCCTGATTTTAGGGAAAAAAATTAAAATTAAATTTTGAATTCAAACTTATTAGACCATTTTCTTACAGATTAACAGCTGGAGGTGCTTAGACTGGCAAAACTGACTTTTTTCCTATTATGAACTTGGAAAGTTTCACTCCTTTGGGTGGTTGTTTCCTGTAGAGGGAAACACTGGGCCTTAACCTTTGAAAAAATGGGATAACTTCTGGAGCTACAAAAATCACTCAGTGATTTTTAAACCAGTGATGTGCACCCTCTCCTGCTCCATGGGCCAGATCCTGTGCATGGGATTGGTTTGCAGGCCAGACCCAGTGCAGTCTGACATGTCAATGTGATCCCATGTGCTGGATCCAGCTGCAGAGTGATGGTATGCCGGTGCGATCTGGCATGGGGGGCCATGTCATCCAGATCGTGGGGCTCCACACTGGTCCGGAAATGTAGTGGCAGGGGAGTAGCGGCAGTATTAATTGCTGTGGCTGTGAGAATAATTAACAGTGCCTCCACTCTCCTGCCACCAGATTTTTGGACCTGCGTGGAGCACCACAGACCAGATTGAACGGTTTTGCGAGCTAGTGAAGGAACACCACTGCTCCACAAAGTTATGAAAACACATTTACAGTCAATTTGGTAAATTTCGTGACTAAACTAAGCTGACAACATCTGCTTAATGTTTGCGTGTAAGCAAAGAAATGGTCTGTTTGGGTAAAGCGTTCTCAGCGAAAAGATTGTTTTTGTAACTTCAGTCTTGCATGCCTATTCCTTGCCAATTTTGGAAATCCAAACTCCAATCCGAAGAGCAAAATCCTAAAAGTGACATTCAGTATAAACATAGTAAAATTAACCAGTCTGATTTCATTGTCCTACACGCTGAAAGAAATGCAGAAAGGTCTTGGGGGACAGCATAATACGTGCTGGACATTGGGCACACAGTGTAATTCCATTGGCGTCAGTGGAATTATTAAGGATTACAGCGAGGTATGAGTTTTGCGAATTTGGATCTAAAATGAACAGCATGTCAGGTAAGAGTAAATAAAAGTAAGAATGATGAGACATTATTTTTATTATATTGTGACTCTATTTTTGACAGTGTCCCTTTTAAAATATTCATTCATTCTTACACCTGATTACCAAAGCTGTGCACAGGAATTTAATTGGCATACAAATTGATGTAATTCAAAAAATCCAAACCTTTATTATTAGAATAAGGTAATAAAAAAAAAAAATTCTACCAAAGCTTAATTTCTGGGGCACTTCTGTTGAATCTAAAATGACTGCAAAAATGTCAATGATTTTTATCGTAATTTTTCC